GTGGCATCTTAGAGATGGCAAAAGGGTGTTAAACTTGCTGGAAAGGTTCTGAACTTGAATGTTTTATATCTTCTTGCTTAGATTGCTCTGGTAATGCTGTGCTCTGTTAACTAACCTAAATACTGTTGTGACTTTGTGGGGGTTTTCTTTCTCTTGAAGGTCTTCAGAGAGAACTGTTAGGTTTTGGGAGGCTTTTCATGTAATGATGTACCTGCCTTGGTAGAGGCATTTGAGTTGCACAGCAAGGAGGATATTATTTCAGTCCTCCTCCCAGCAATCAATCCCTGAAGGGTAATTTTCATATAAAATGATGAAACTTGCAGTGTTTATCCTCAGTGTACTTCAGCAGGTAAACAGTACCTAAAGTTTTGATTTAAAATATCACCTTTGCCTCCTAACCTTGTCCCTTACTGTTCCCTTAAGTCAGGTGTTATAGCCATGATAGCCTATGTATTTAGTAAAGAGGAGAGAGAACGAGAGAGAGAAATTATGATCTGAAATAAGCTTTGCTTCACATAATCAGAAAACAGAGCACACACAGTCACATGCTTAAAGCATTTTGGAAATGTAAATACTTATCAAGCTGGCTTTGTCCATGTATGATTACTGATAATCTCTGTGTTGCATTTCAGGTGGTGGAAATGCCAGCATTCCTGGAATTGAGAGGATGGCACCTGGCATTGATCGTATGGGCTCGGGAATAGAAAGAATACCTTCCGGGATGGGGCACGGGATGGAGAGAGTAGGGTCAGAAATAGACAGGATGGGTCTCGTTTTGGATCGCATGAGTTCCAACGTGGATCGCATGGGCTCCGGAATCGATCGGATGGCCCCTCTGGGCATAGATCACATTGCTCCTAACATCGAGAGGATGGGCCCGGCCATCGAGAGGATGGGTTCTGGCATAGAAAGAATGGGTTCTGGAATAGGTTTTGGTATCGAGAGGATGGGTGCTGCCATCGACCGTGTCGGTACCGGTATCGAGAGAATGGGCTCAGGTGTAGAGCGTATGGGCTCCGGCATGGATAGAATGGGCATAGGGATGGAGCGTATGGTTCCTGCCGGAATGGGAACCGGAATGGGTCAGGTCATAGAGAGGATGCCAGCCGGCTTGGATCGCATAGGTGCCACTCCTATGGAAAGAATAGGAATAGATCGTATGGGCGCTGCTAGCATGGAGAGAATGGGCCTGGAGCGCATTGGAGCCACTAACATGGAGAGAATGGGGCCCGCTATGGGCCAGGGCATGGGAGCAGGCATAGATCGAATGGGACTTGCGATGGGAAGCAATTTTGAGAGAACGATGGATATGGAACGTGGAAACTTTGCAGGCAATTTTGCAGGCTCCCTTGGAGGAACTGGAGGACCTGCAGCTGGGGTGGCCAGAAAAGCCTGTCAGATATTTGTGAGAAATGTGAGTAGCCTGCTTCCTATCTTTCCTTCTTCCTATCTTTCCTTCACCTATAATGAAATTACTAGCGCTGAGGTGTTGGCCACCTCTGTGCTTTTTTGGCTTCAGTTAGAATAATATTGGATGCTGCCCAAAGTAGAATTAGTCTCTTGGGAGTTGAAGCCGAACAGCTCTCTCCATTTGTAAGTGCTGATGGTGACCTATGGTTGTCCCTGGATGGAAAATGTGTTTTGGGGGGGTGTGGTACCGACAAGTCATTCTGTTGATCCTCAGTAATGGTCTGTTCTTCTTTCACAGCTGCCTTTTGATTTTACATGGAAAATGCTGAAAGATAAATTTAATGAATGTGGTAAGTGTTGTTTTTCTGTCTTTCTCCCAAAATAACTTAAGTGCTTGTTTTTCCTGGAGCACAGAGTTAGGTAGATAAATTTGTGATTTGATCAACTTCAGGGAGTGTTTTCGGGGCAATAGTCACTACCCTGGCCTTCCTGCCCAGCACCTCGTGCTGCTTGCCTGATGGTAAAACCACGTGCCCCCCTCGTTGGCTGTGGTGTGGACTAGTATTTAGCAAGCTGGGCCAGGAGGTAGGATTGCACTTTGCGCTGTTCATCTACTCCTGGTGCAATTCTTCAAGTTCGAGAACCAGTTTGAATTAATTCAGCTTTTAAACCGAGTGCATTCCTTTAAAAGAGACTTGGTAAAATTGTCTTGCAGCTTAAAGTTTGAAAGCAAAGAGACTTCCCCTGTGAAAGGTAGAGAAATGTGCCACATGCTCTAGGTGACCCTGCGTGTGCAGGGGCATTGGACTAGATGATCTCTAGAGGTCCTTTCCAACCTTAAGGATTCTATGATTCTATGAAATGTGATTTGATAAGAGTTCTGTGGTATGTCCTAGAGTAAACAAGAACAAAATGTAACTTTTTTAAAATTTTATTTTCCCAGGTCATGTGCTGTATGCTGATATCAAGATGGAGAATGGGAAATCTAAAGGCTGTGGTGTGGTTAGGTTTGAGTCCCCAGAAGTAGCCGAGCGAGCCTGCCGTATGATGAATGGGATACAGCTCCGGGGGAGGGAGATTGATGTGCGAATTGATAGAAATGCTTAAGTAGTTGCCTTTTTAAGACTTATACCAGATTTTTGTTGAATTTGTATTTTTCTTGTTAACCATTTTAATTTGACTGGATGTAAAGGTGTTAAAACGATTCAGTTGCTTTCTGGAGTAATTTTAATTACTTTTTTAACAAATGGATTTCCATTTTACTGTTTTTTGCATTGAAACTGCAATGTGCACAATCTTTTTTTGTAGTTGTGGCATCTTGTTGACATTACAGATGTAAACAGTACGACTTTGATAATAAATGCAAGTTAAAGCTTTCAGTCATTGCATCTGTTACTGGTAGCACATCCTATGCTTGCAAAAATATCTGTAATCTGAGCTCAGTTAACTAGAACTTGTATTCCCTGTGAAGTGTCAGAAAGGAATGTTCATCCTGGTTGTCAGTTAGTGACAGTATGAATCAGTCTTGATGCACTTGATGGATGCACTTGCATATTAGCATTTGATGTCCTCAGGCTACGAGGGGCTTCTCTTCCTGTGTTAAGATGTAGTAGATGACTTTTTTTTTTTCCCCTAGCAAGAAGGGGGGTGGTAATTTAATTTTTTCTCCAGTGGCAAGGCTGGTTTTAAAAAAAAAAAAAAAAATCCTGTGCTGTCACTTGTCAGAGCTGTTCTGAAGGCCTTAACTGTCAATGTCAACTGAAAATGGATTAAAAACACATGTTTTCTCATGTGGACCATTTCAGTGGAGGCAGTGCACCCTGTAACTGTCCCTTATTGGGGCTAAGTAAAGTGTGTAAGTGAGAAATAGCTGCTGCCAGGTGAAAGAAGGTGGAATTTATGCCTGCAACAAGTAGAGTTTTAATGTCCAGATACCCAAATTGATTGGGGTGAATTCCTTTGGTGGGAGAGCTGATCTTTTTATGCTAAAGACAAGATTTCTTGTCCTTTCCTTGGTTTGAGGTCTGCAAAAGCTCCAAGACTAACTTTCAGTTACAGTAACTGAATAATGTTCTCCTTATGGGCTTGATGCTAACTGCATCTGAGAGACACAGGGACTGCTCAAAAAAAAAAAAAAAAAAAAAAAAAAAAAACACCTCACCAACAGCCTTTCCTTGCAAGGATGTCATCCACATTTGTGCCCTGATGGGAAAGGACAGGTGACTGTTAGAAGGCTAAAGTTTAACAAACTTTTCTTTTGCTGAAAGTTCACCTGCCTCTTTCTAAGTTGGAGTGCTGTGTGATACCTCAGTACTGAATTGTGCTGCACATTCCAGAGTGTTAGGATAAGTTGAGATGTGGAATATGCATTGGCTCGTGGAGCAATTTTTACAGCTGCATCGTAAAGGAGAAAGACAAAAAGGCCTCTTGGTCTTTTAAGAATCTCCCCTACCCCTACAAGGGGCTTTCACGATGAGTTATGGTTGCAGAATCCCTTCTGCAAGCGTCTGATCACGGTGTTGCTTCTTAATTTGCCTTTTTCATAAAACAAAAAAAGGCACTGAGCATTTCCCACCCTTCCAACCACCACCACCTCCCTCTTGCTTGTCCTGGCAGGAATACCTGTGAGGTGAAACCGCTGCATTAAGGGCCTCGGTTGTCACTAGGGTTTTTACCTTATTATTCTTTGTTAAATGGTTTATTAAACCTTTATTAAAAGGAATCTCAAACCAGCTTTGCTACTGCAGAAAAGGGGGCCGGGGAGGTGGGTGAGGAGGCAGCAGTCACTGTGTGGCAAGGGGCTGGGGGGAGGCTTTAGAGGAGACCCTCGGGGCGCTGGAGAGGACGCGTGCGGACACTTCACTTGCTACTTTGTACTTTAGAGAAGAAAAAAAATGCATTTTACTTCACAATAATAATAATAAAAAAAGTTAGTTAAAGCTTTGTTGGAGTCTCATTGCCGCCGCCT